TTAAAAGCTTAAAGCTGTAAGCTAATGATAGTTATATAAGAGCAGATGCTGCTGGTGCAATAAGCTGTAGTTTTACGTCCAGTGGATGATGATCTGATTAGTCGACTAATCGCATAAATAATCGGTGACTAGTCGACTATCAAAATAATCGTTTGTGGCAGCCCTACAGGAAAGAGATTATCTTTTCACTCATGCCTTTGTAGAGTTGAACTGTAATAACAAATGCAGTGTCACGCAGAGCTTTATACGTGAATAATACCATAATTTAAATAGACACAATGGTAACCACGTAATGAGAATTAAAGGTTCTATAAGTGAGATTTTAAACATTAATATAGCCCGTAGGATCTAAATGAAAAGCTTGTTGTGTGAAGTTACAGATGGTTTCTTCGGTGCAGAGGAAGGCTGTGTAGTCAGGAGCACATTATGTACAGATTTGATCAATGGCAAATCATCACAGATAATGTTTCTTAATGGGCTGCAAGCAATCAGCAGACAAATTGCATCGGATTGAGGCTGCTTCTAAAATCATTTCCTCGATAATAGGCGCAATTTATTGAACACCAAATTGAAATTTTGCATACTTAACACTTACTTTGTGTCATCTTTGGTAGGTGAGGTATAAAAAAAAAAATCATTCATATTCATGTTACAGCTTTACAAGAGTGGAAGCTACTCAAGCTAATGTTTAGTTACACATTACCTGAAATATAAATGAATGCTAACTTTTCCTCTTTTTGTCTCGCAGATGTGCGACAGTAAGGAGGAGGGTGTGGACAGCGATACTGTGAACATGTCAGTGGTCAACCCCACCACCTCCGCTCAGTACTTCCATCTGCTTCGGAGGCAGATGGTTCGAAACTTCCGCAAACCTCTCGTTGTTGTGGGACCCAAGACTCTGCTGAGATTTTCCGTGAGTACTTTAGGCCGCGCTCAGCCGGGCTTAAATGCCTCGAAAACAGCGGTCGCTAGGGAAAAATGCGAAAATTTCTGTGACTGTTTTTGCGGGTGGTATTTGAAGGTTGCTGGCCGTTGCCGTGAAATCGACTATTAAAGCTCCAATCACACCAAGATGCAAAATGAAGTTGGTCACAAACAGGTATATGGTGCTGCACCAAAAAAAAACCAAAACCAAAACTCTGCGTGCACTTTTCAAAGTAAAAGCTGGACCTTTTGAATGGTGTTGGCTGCAGCAGAGTTTCACTACTGCTCGGCGAGTACTTGCTAAGTCTTCGCAGTCTTCCATGAAACTACCAGTCTGCTAGCAACCAAAGCAATCGCAAGGAGGGTTTTTGTGCAGCACCCTCTTTGCAATCAATTTTACCTAGCAACAGCCAGCAGCCTCCAGTAACCACTTGCCAACCAGTTCAGGAATATAATTTTTTTTTTCCCTAGCGACCAGTGGTTGCCAGGAAGTCACCAATCGGTCTCTAGGACAGATTTGACACATCCAGCTCCTCACAGATGCTTCCATCTCGATGCTTGAAGGACATATTCTGTTTTCCCAGGGGGCCGTGTCCAGTTTGACTGAGATGGCACCAGGAACGTCTTTTAGGCCAGTGCTGGGTGATACTTCTGTGTCAGCAGAAAGGTAGAGAAGACGTTATATTAAATCTGCAGTGTGGGTGTGTGATTGTTTCTGTGTGTTTAAATGAAACTGCAGGAGCTCAGATTTTTGAAAGAACCATAAAAACACATGTAAGTAGCCCAAACCCTGAGCCCAATCCAGTGTTTTTTCTTTCCACACAGTGTCCAGAAGGTGGTGCTGTGCTCTGGGAAGCACTACTATGCTCTGCTGAAACAGAGGGAGACATCAGCAGCCAACCAGAACACAGCGCTCATCCGCGTGGAGGAGCTGTGTCCGTTCCCTCTGGATGCCCTGCAGCAGGAGCTCAAAAAATACCCCAAAGCCAAAGGTAGCGTGACCGCTCACTAATCTGTTTTCCCACCTACATGCCTACACCGGCTACACACCGGCTTTATAGATGGAGGTGCACTAGTAGTTTGCTTTGAGTCGTCGTTGAAGTTTAATCAGATCAGTTTATGAGTTTTGTTTCGTTTTTCAGAGTAGATTTGTTTGTTTCATTTTAGTTTGTGTTGTTTAAAAATGTTTTGTTTTATTAGTTTTAGTGTTAGGGTGGTGCGGGTGGTGTTTGTCCTTTCAGAGCAGTACAATAATACATTTAAACATTAAACACTTAAATTCTCAAATCTAAATATCTTTTTTTCCACCTAATTACAACGGTACTTTATTAATGAGTTAGAATAAGAATCACAAGTTTTCTGTCGTGAAATCTTTTTCCAGTCTCTGCTTGAAATCCATTTCTCTGTAAATTATTTTAAATCAATCTTTTAGAAAATCCAAACGTGTTCTGTGAGTAGATATTGGTTGTAGTTGATTGGTTTCAGTCAGATTATTTGTAGAAAAAAAACTCAGAATAAGTTCAATTTACTACATTTGCAATCCAGAGGTTTCAGTATACACAAAAATGGTGTATGAACGGTTTTTTTCATCAGTGCCACCATGTGGCTGACCGATGTTCTGAGCTGCTGCTGCTGCAGCCTCGCATGTCCATCAGAGAAAGTCTCTCATCTGATTGAGCTTGGTGGAAATCTCATGGAACAGAGATGAGTAATCGTGCCAGGCCTGTGGTGGCTGCTTGAGCGGGACGGTGCCGGTTCCCACACCGCCAGAATAGTGCAGGCCTTTCTGGATCAGGAGAGTACTCAGACACTTCCTTGGCCTTTTCCTTTAGTCCTGACGTGTTTCTTGCTGAACATGCCTGGGTGGATGCGTTCATCAGAGGCAGCTACAACCAGTGACCATTGCATAGCCAGCTGTCAGCTGCACTCATTCAGGAATGGAGAGTAATTCCGATCCAGACAGGTGACGGCTTGCATCACATCCAGGAGAGGTCATACCTCATACGAAGTGTCTTCTGTATAAGTTATAAACGTTAGTGTTGGGGTTAACCTTTAAGGGTTGGTCTATAAAATCTATTTAACAAACTACTGGGGTTTTGTTTGGTTTTTTGTTTGGTTTTTTAAAAAATTATTATTACATTTAACAGACCACCTGTCATAAAATCAAGAAAACGGATACAATTTAGCAATCTGTCAAAAACTTTAGAAGGATGACTTTTTGCCAGACAGAAGAGGGTTACAAAAGCGCGCTGCTGAAGTCTGAGTCAGAGTAATTTAAATGTGATCCAGCTGAAAGCAGAAACGACATTCGACCGTTTAGTTGAAATGCCAGATCATCAAGTATCTGACAAACTCTTACCTACTGCACAGCTGTTGTCTCACAGGTTTCTCTCACTTTATCCTTTACTGTCCCTGTGAGCGTCATTCAAGGCGTGATGGACATGCTTTCCATACACGAGAAAATTTCCTTGCCAACATTGTCTTTTTTTGCTTATTCACACCATCCTTACTTGTTTAGTTTCACAAGAATGCATTTATGTAAACAGCAGTACAAATACTACGTGTGTGTTCAACTGGCAAAGTTTAGCTGAGGACTCAGAGTAGATCAAAATCTTGAATTGGTTTTGTGAGCTGGCCTCTGTTATTACCCTGTGCTCACAGCCTTTGAACCTTCAAAGCGGTGAGTGATTTGCATACTTTTTTTAGGTTCCTCTTTTTACTTTTTAGGCACAGACAGCTTTTGTTTTAAAGCTAAGTGCAGCTTGTGAGGATAAGAAGACTTCAAACATGGGGCTGAAAATATCTTCACATTTTGGGGTATAAATCATAGGTTCTGGTCTTACAAAGATCCTGATTATTATTTAACAGTAATACAGCAAAGGACAGTCAGAAATATTTGTTCTGTTTTTTTAAAAGAAAAATTGGTGATTCAGATAATGGTCTTCAGATGGTAACTGAGGTATATGACGAGGCGCTTTTTGACCAAACTGCTCAAATTATGACACATGGCACGTTATGTCTGTGTGCCGTGCCCTTAAACTAACTATACCCTTCTTCTACAAGAATTGTGAGTATAAGTAGTAGCCAAGAGCTGATGGCTGACAATCAAATGCATCGTGCCCATAAAAGCAGGAGTTCTGTGAGTTTGCTGGTTCAGGTGTGTGTTAAAACAACGGCAAGGAAGAACGACATCAGCAGTGACCTTAAAGAAAGAATTGCTGCTGCCCATCAATCCAGGAAGGGTTAAAGACCATTTCCAAACAATTTGAAGCCTATCATTCTACATCTAATGTTTTTCACTATTATTATTTACAAGTGAGCGACATTCAAGACGGTAACCGGTCTTTCTAGGGGTGGACATCCCAACAAATTTACCCTGAGGTCAGACTGTGCAATGCTCAAAGAAACTGCAAAAAACCAAGAGCTACATGTCAGATTCTGCAGGCCTCAACATTTAACATTTAACATACTAAACTTCATGACAGTAGAAAAAAAGATTTAAGAAATATGGCTTATTTGGTGTGTGACCAGGAGAAAGTGTCTTCTCTCGAAAAACCAGAAACAAAAAAAACATGGCACGTTTGCAAAGCTGCGTCTGAGCAAACCACCAGACTTTAGCGACAGTGTCCTTTAGACAGATGAGACAGATAAGGAAATGTGTGACCTTAATGCACAGCATCGCAATTAGATATGAGCACACACATGTCATACCAAGTGTCGAGCACGGTGGTGAAGGAGTGATGATTTGGTTTTGTTTTGCAGCCACAGCAGCTGGGTAGTTTAAGGTCATCGAGTCAACCGTGAACTTCTCTGTATACCAAAGTATCCTAGAGTCAAATGTGAGGCCGTTTGTGTGACGGCTAAAGTTTGACTGAAATTGGGTCGAGCAACAAGACAACGATCCCAAGCAGAGCAACAGATCTACAACAAAAAAAGACTGAAAAAGAAAAGAAATCAAATTATTACTACCACTCAGCCAAAGTTATATTTAAATAATTTCAAGACCCGATAAAGACCACGTGACATTTCATTCAATCCTGTTAGAAATGAAAGATGGCACATTTTCTTTAGCGAATGACTACATGTTTATTTATTTATTTTTTTACATGTATGTTTGTGGGGTTTTTTTTTAATTAAAACGGAGAGACATAATTTAGATTGGCAGTTGTTCTGTCATTTTTGTGCGTGTGGATGAGAAACAAAGCTCAGGTTTCACTTCAGTTTGCTGTACTATCGTTCTCACCAAATACTCTATAGCAAACTGGTTTCACACTGAGCTGAAATTCCACTGAACTGCAAGAGAGGAACTTCAACCAAAGTGCTAACCTACATAAATCCTGTATCACTGTAGGTTATAATCACATTTTTAAAATCCTCTTGCAGAGTTCATTTGGAGCCAGGAGGAGCCTCAGAACATGGGGCCCTGGTCTTTTGTAGCTCCCAGGTTTGAGAAGCAGCTGGCCTGCAAGGTGAGCACAGTTTGAAACAATTCTGTCTACACTGTGAACCTCAGTGAATTATATTACTCGAATTGACTCCCTCCTCTGTCCTTGTCAGCTCCGGTTAGTGAGCCGGCCCGCTCTGCCCGCCCCTGCTGTCGGCATCGGGACCCTTCATCATCAGCAGCAAGAGGCCATCCTCACTGCTACTTTCTCCTAAGACTTAAACAAGGCTGCAAACCAAAACATATCAAGTTTGCAGGCATCGGTACAACACTACATGCTGCATCTGCTGCACTACAGATACGCGGGACCCTTACATGGCGTGGATGGGCTGTTTTTAAACAAATTGTTCAGTAATGAAGATCAAATCAGAGAAATGTGTGAAAGAGGATAGTGTTAATGATTTTATTTGTTCTCTTGTAGTTCTTAAGTGTTTGTTTTTAATGAAAAGCCTACTTCTGTTCCCTCCTGTCATTCAGCATGCCTGTATTTAAGGATGGAGGCACGAAGCCTTACTGACGGCGTTTACAAGGTGACTGTGATGGACGCCTGTCAGGGGGAAATCTACAGATTCCATGTTTCAGGAATCGGAACTGCTTATTTGTCTCGTGCACACAGGCTGCATGAGTTACTGTTTACATCATAAAGTAGTGGGAGTGTATTTGTGCATTAACCTTGAAACATGTAAGAATGTGAGTGCTAAACTAGCATTACACTTGAAGATTTGAAAGTCTGTCGTGATCACCAGGAGGAAGTTACCACTGAAACTGTTGAATGTTTATCAGACCAGTTTCATTTCTTATCTTACAAATATGAACTAAAGTTAATTGTTTTAACCATTTTACCAAACTGAAGCTTCAAATCAGAATATTGGCATTAAAGAGTATATTTTAAAATAAATCTGTTTTCATGTAAGTGTGTCTATTTCTTTTTGACCAATAACGTGCTTCGTTCTATAAGAGTAGTCGCTCCTGAAGTTTGTAGCACGAAGCAGGATTCGTGCTTATTCCACTAACTTCCAGTTTAACTCTGGATTTTATTTTTTTATTTTTAAAAAGGCAGCTTCACTTGTTACTGGGCTGTGCAGCAGACATAACCTGCTCCAGATTACAGCAGGTTAGATTAGTCTTAGATTAGAGATCAACAGGTATGAAATCACCACCTACTGACCAATCAGTTCTCTGGGAAATGGTGTCACCATATGGACTGAACTGAATCTTCTTTAGTGCTTTTCTACTCTACTCAAAGTGCTTTATACAACTTGCCTCATTCACCCATTCATACAAGCACTTTGTTCTATGCTTAGGTGCTTTCTGTCTAACATTCACACTCTGGTGGATGCACTGGTGAGCAGCTAGGGGTAAATATCTTGCCCAAGGATACTTTAGCGTGTCAATGACCTGCTCTACCTCCTGAGCTACAGCCACACATTTGTGGAAGATACCTCGGATCTCTGTGAGCAGGTAGAAGGAGGGTCTACAGCAGGGGTGGGTAGCTCCAGGCCTTGAGGGCTGGTGTCCTGCAGGTTTTAGATCTCACCCTGGGTCAACACACCTGAATCACATGATGAATTCTTTACCAGGCCTCTGGAGAACTTCAGGACATGTTGAGGAGGTCATTTAGCCAATTGAATCAGCTGTGTTGGATCAAGGAAACATCTAAAGTGGATAAGTGCAAGCAAACGGATGGAAGGATGAACTTTCTTTATGCACATTTTAACTAAACATTAAAAGGATAACACTTGTAATCTATGTGGTTCTCCAGTTTCTTACTGATATAGCTGTGACGGTGATGTCAAATAATCCTCACAGTGTAAACGCCCTGTCCTTCCTTGCTTCAAATACTGCTGTTTGTGATTGGTCAGTGTTACCCCTCTAATGAGAATGGCTTGTATTAAGACTGGAGAAATCCCGTGATTGACTTACCAAGTTTATAACCACCTTCCTGTAACCTGATGATGTTCTGGTGAGTGAAGCCAGATAACTCCAACATATCTTTGGTCTGATGAACTTCATCTGCAGGCATAGTTTCAAATAAATTAACATATGTACAGGGAATTACTGTGAGCCAGTAACTTTAGGCTTCACAAATGTCCATTTTTTTTCCTACTCTTATTTCTGTATGATGTCATTGAGAGTTAATATTACTTATGTGGTCATATCTGGCACACAGGTTCTAACCATTATGTGAAGGAGAGCAAATTAGATGAAAGCTGGCTTAAAGGGAAAAGAAGTGAAGCAGATTTTTTCAGACAGAGGTTCAACTGAGGGGCATCACCAAGGCTCAGCATGATAATGCTCAGCAACAGTAAAAATGCACAGTTGTAAATGAGTATAATAGATCCCTTTACCCACAGCCACCCTGGGGCGCCTCTGTCAGTGGTGCGGTGGTCAGACAGCCCGGTGGCACCAGTGTCCGGCAGCCTTGCCCCTGTCAGTGCGCCCCAGGGTGACTGTGGCTACAATGTAGCTTGTGTGTGTGAATGGGTGGATGACTGGATGTGTAAAGCGCTTTGGGGTCCTTAGGGACTAGTAAAGCGCTACACAAATACAGGCCATTTACCATTTTACAGTTGCGTAACCATACTTCAGCTTAAGACAGGATATTGTTAGAGTGGACCCAGAGTTGTTGGGTCCTGCATTCATATTTTTCTCGTATTTTTTACATGAGATTTCAATAAAGGCTGACGCACTCTTAAATGGCCGTTTTCCAGTTAAAGAAAGATACGAGATAATCGATACTTTTGGAGGCTGGATTCAAAAATCCAAAAACAAAGTGGGTGGATGATTTTTCTGCAGACTGAAGGAACAACACCTCTGTGTAAAGCAATGAGGAAAATTAGCTTTAAGTCATGACCTTGATTTAATTAGTTGTGTTTATTCTGCTTGATTGTTCATTCAGTTAAATAAAACGACAATGTCCTCCCAAACAAGTTACACAATTGATCAGAGGAGGAATCCTTCAAAAAAGATTACAGTATTCAACAGTTCAACTGAAAACAGGGAACAATTTAAAGTGATTTTCTTCCCATACAAAGTTCTCAGTGACTAAGCTACAGCATATCTGAAAAACTTCATAATGGAGGTATATTAGGTCTGGCTGGATTATTGTAAATCCATGTCATTTTCGAATAACTTCCTGAAAAACCTTCATTTGATCCAAAATACAACAGCAAGAGCATTAATAGGAGCCATAAAATCATATTTCTCCCACTTCAACTTCTTATTAGCTTCCTGTCAAATCCAGAATCAAATCCTTCTCTCTACACACAAACTCCATCAATGCCCCATCGATCTTAAATACCTCATAGTACAATGTTATCCTAACAAAAGGCATTTTGGGGTTTCAAAACTAGAATGGGAGGTGGAGCCTTCAGCTATCAGTACCCTGTCCTGGCCGCGAATCTCCCATTTTGGGTTCAGGATTAAATAAACCAGGATGACATAATTTGGTGGTTTTTTTTGGTTTTTTTTATTGTATTGAAGGTGAAAGGATGCAAGAATGTAACATAATTAATACACGTTCAGATGATCATGAAATGTTTCTTTACAAGAAATCTTGATCACATACAGTAAGTGAAAGATTAAATGGTTTTGTCACACAGGCCAGAAGGGTGGCACACACTAACACACACTACCAGATACACAGGATATGATGCAATGTGATAGAGGGTATGACATCATTAAAGGAAGGTTTTTTTAAGCTTGTGATTTCATGCTTATGGTTAGGGCAGGATCAGTCGAGCGTGAAACATCACTTAGCAGAGGGTCAGACTGCTGGGGGACTTCCCACAATGCCCTGAGGTGTTTCCCCCACTGTCCTCTCTTTCACTTCTGATGTCTTTATATGCAGCTTTTGCTTTTAACTTTTTTCCTCCTGTAGTTTTGTTTTTTGTCTTCTTTCTCTATGCTTCACTTTTCTTTCTTCTTTTTCCTCTCACCCCCAGCTGGTCATGGGAGAAAGCTGACCCTGTCTGAGCCTGGTTCTGCTGGACGATTTCCCTTTTTTGTTTTCTTGTTCACAGAGGATTCTCCAGGTTCTCTCTATTACACTTTAAGATCCCCACCCTTCAATGTAGAGAGTCCAAAGATGACTGTTGTTGTAAACTGTCATTTTGAAACTCTGTTTCTGTGTTTAGTGAAGATGAAAAAAAGGCTACAATGATTGCTGATGTGGAGCATGCTCTACTTCAAAAGCCAGAAATTTTTTGTATTTATTTATTTTTTCCTAAATCATTAATTAATGACTGAAGATCCAAACTTTACTTTACTTAAATAAAAGGTCAGTGTTATTTAAAAAAAATATTTTTCTTTGTCTGAATTGAGGGATGGCGTTAGATGGTGCTTATGTTGAGCCAAATGAGAACGGTTGTCTTGACAACAGGAAATGTACAACAACAGGCCAATGTCAGGCCACCAGGCGAACATTTAGACATTGATTAACCGTCAGCTGACCTTCTTTTCTTCATGTCTTGGTTCAATAGTTCCAAAAGTTGTGCTAATAGTTCCGACATTAAAGCTGTGCCGATATCAGAGACGTAACCTCGCTGTTGCCCGGACATCCTTATAGGACTTTCTTGAATTTCAAGAATTCATCTATATTATGGTCTTATTGATTAGAACTG